TTCCTGTCATCACATAGATTTTCGGCTGTTTCCTGTGGGCTTCCCTGTGATGGGGTTTTGTGGGACTTTGAGTACATACGTAACCGTGTGGCTCCGAAGCATTGCTCAGGAATATGGATGTGTTATGATCCAACAGTGTCACCCCTAGTGTTCATTGTTAAAAGCCGGTTGATCACTAAATGAATCACTTTTACACTCTAAATTGACAAACAGTCAGCAGTTGGGGTTTGAGCAGGAAGGGGGTGCTGTAAATCTAAATGAACACTTCCATCCCAGGTTTTATATGCACATGTCAGCGTGAAACTGTGATTTGTGAATTGTCAAATTGTGGCCATAAGATGTGACCTCTCCAGTGGTTAATGTATTTGTGTACAAACATCATTAATGCCATGATGTTGTTTCTTTTAATGAATGAAATGCCTCTGTGTTTTAATATTTTTGCTTTTATAGTGTAACATGGTAAAGCTATTCTGATATGTCTGTATTTGTTAAAGGGGTCATGAACTGCATTTGTTTTATTATTTTATAATGTTCTCTAATAATTATAATCGGCCATTCTGTCTACACTGGATGTGGCACGGACTGACACAACAGATCTCCGACAATAAACTGATGTCCTGCTCTATTTCTGACATACAAGCATTCGCGCCGCTTCTGACCTGAAAGAGAAATTGATTCGTGACATGACGCAACAGCGCTCGCGCCCGATCTAGATATGTTAGGATCGCAAGGAAGGCTATTTTTCACAACTTACACAACACAGTGTCTTGTAATCTTGTAATGTCATCAGTATGGTTCTGTTGATGGAGTAATCCTGTGTTTGCATCCCTCTAGTAGGCTATTTTCTCTCCTTTTACTACAAGCGTGTATCAGTGGGCGTGGCTAAAGAGGCAGTGATGTCAAAGCAGGTGTTGATCTTCTCCTGCGGAGGCGGTGCTTAGCCACACTATTACATCATAAAGTGGCACATTCCACAACGAGTCGTTTTCTGAGCTTGGTTTCAATAAAAGCTGTTTTTAAACTAAGAAGAAATCTTTGAGTTTTGAAACTTGCAGGATGTTTTTATAGTACAGTGACCTGTTATATGTCAAAAGATCAAGGGAAATTTGATTTCTCAGTTCATGATCCCTTTATTAAATGCCATAAGGAAGTGGTCTGTAGACAGTTTTGCCTTTAGTTTTAGGACCATGATAGTGGCTTGTTGTGTTTGTTGTGTCTGCCTTCTAGTGCAATGGCCTTTTGTTTGTATGTTTGAGGAGATTAGACTTGCTAAGCCATTGAAAATCATCCAAATATTTTCAACAACTTGAACGTCACAAAAGTCCCTGTGTATGCATATATTAAGATGACTGTGAAATTAAGATGCATTGCGAGGTTTAGATGAATTAATGAAAGCTCTTGGCATGAACGTAAATAATATTTTCATATTAAGCCTTATCATTTTTGTTGCATTTTTGCTTCAGATCCTTTATACGAACACTTTCTTTTCAGCTTCCTATGAGTTTTCCCCCCAAATCATCAGCTTTTTAAAATTTCATAATCAACATTCTCACTTTCTCAAAATGTTGCACCTGTAAATGATTTGGTCTTATTTACAATGCTTTTTCTTTTCTGACCAAATGTGATTTTAATTTTGTAACAAACTTTCCACAGACACAAATCACTGTGTTTACGTCAGTTGTTAGTTGTGTTTGCACACAGTGCGACAAGGTACAAATGACACAATATCCTGCAAACACTTACCGTCTTTTATAAACTACAGAACAAACAAGTAAAAGGTACACTCTTCTTTGCTCTTTTTTGATGGATTTGTAGTTCTTGAAATGTGTGAGTGTGTCTTTGTAAATGTATGGATATTTAAGGTTCCAAAAGATTATTTTTAAACGCTGTTGTCACTGTCCGCATACTTTGAGTGAAAGAAGATAAATGTATGCAAAGTGTATTACTCCATATCTAAAACTTGATCAGTGGAACAAGGTGGCCTTAAAGCAGAAGGAGGTCTTGGCTCTTTACTTGTCTTTTCTGTCCCCCATCAGGTTTATTTTTGTCTTAAGTACTTTCATCAGCCCTCCAATTCAACTGCTACAACAATTTATAATAAAATGTGATTTTGCTTTCCTTCACTTTCCACAGTGTTGTCTCGTTTTTTTTCTCCTCCTTTTATTTCTCGTTTTTGTACTCTCTTTTAAAGAAAAATAATAAATGATATGCTGGTGTTGACCAACCCTTAGTTTGGATGTTTTCTTATAGTGAAGAAATAAAATGAGGAATGAAATAAATGTTAACGCAAATAAAATATAAAAAGTAAACTCTTTATTTAAGCTAATTGCCAAGGTAACATTTCTTATTTTAATGTTTAATAATTGATGTACTAAAATAACATAAAAAATGGACAAACTTAAGATTTTTACGGAAAACATAATTCTCAATGGTAATTCTTAAAGTGATAATATCCACACACACAAAAAAAGGACTAAAATATGTTGTTTTAAAATATCAAGAAAGTCCAGCAAATAACAGCATGTATAACAGACAGCAGAGAGAAAAGAATAAGGATAATTTAGTTTGTCTCACGATTGTCAGCACTTTCATTTGTAATGTATATTTAAAAGTAACGTGAATGTTGTAAATAAATGCTGGTACCCGATACAAGCCCAAAAACAAATCACACTAAGAAATATTTGGCCTGAAGAGTAAGAGTTATGGTGTGCATACGTTAAATACATCACGTAACGTGATTCACGTGATTTATCTAAACGTGATTTACAGAGGCGGACAAAGTACTCAACTCCATTACTTAAGTGAAAGTACAGATACTGCTGGTCAGATATTACTCCATTACAAGTAAAAGTTGTAAAGACAGATTTTTACTTAAGTAAAAGTACAGAAGTACTTGCTTTTAAAAGTACTTAAGTACCAAAAGTAAATTTCCTTATTTATGTCAATGCACTGTTTTATTGTTGTTGTGTGCAATACTTGCAATACTTCTGAAGCAACTTAGAATACATTACACCTGCTGAATACACTGACTAGCTTGTAGTATCTTTGGAATAAAGAGCTTTTAGAACGTTAAAAACCTATGGGGGGAAAAAAAAAATATTATTTAACACCCCTACCCACCCCCACAAAAGCAGGATGGTAGTGATCTCACACAGCTCTGACAGTGTGTGTGCACACATCTATGTGTAGCCATTCATCCACATTTGAACTGAGTGGACAGTGAAATCCTGTAAATACAGAGTGATAAGGAAGAAAAAAAAATCAAACCTGCTTTAAAACCCAGCAACACAACTGTAGCTGTA